TGCTGAGCTGCAGATTCAGACAGATCAATGTTCAAATTTAGGCATTTCTATTTAGTAATTTTTATTTCCTGGAACAACTTACTTAAACCTCTCAAAGTCTCATATGCTACTTCTAAGGCATTCTTAAGAACACCTACTAATAGAGTTCTTCTTGTGAGATTCAGACAAGGCAATACACATCAAAACAGTTATGCAGTTAGAAGCACAGGGGGAAAAATCACAATGAATGGTCAAGATAAGATCCAGAGCTGTGGACACACAGAAGTGACGATGTTTTTACTCCTAATTCCTGTTTTAACATGATCAAGACTGAAAACTATCTTTTCTCATCCGTTTATTTATTTGCCAGTATAAAATGTGTTTGTGGTCACAGTGCAGATAAAATATTGTTTAATTGTTCAACGCTTTTAAAAGTTCTTAATAACCCCTGAATAAATTACTGTGGCCCTCAGACCCATATGTGACTCTCTTCAAGGTAGCTTCACAAGGAAAAAAAAAAAAGCCGAAATTGTGAAGAGGTGAAAAGAATACCACGGTTCTATATTAATATAATTGTTAGGCTTCTCACTTCTCTAATCTGAGGAGTGTCTAAGAATTGAACCACTTCAGATTTAAAATGTTCATTAAAGATTTTTTAAAATCAATCTATTTTTCAAAATAAAAGGAATTTCCAATATTAGCATTAAAACTCTGACAATATCAAATGTTTTCAATTTTAAGTTATTTTCAGAGTAATTGCCCTAAATGAGTTGCCCTGGATTGCATCCCAGAAAAGGGACAGTGGTGGAAAAATCAGTTAAATATAAATAAAATGGTGTTTTGTTTAAGAGTAACACAGCAATACTTATGTCACAGTTTTGACAAATATATTTAAGGTAAAGTAAGAGAACATGGGAAACTAAATGGGAATTATACAGGAATTCTCTACACTATCTTGACAACTTTTCCTTAATCTACAACTACTCCAAGACATTTAATGAAAAATCATACAACCATTGTTCAGTTTTCACTATTAAATAAGTATAGTCCTGCTTTATCACTTAATATCCATATATCACTGAAGCATCCACTCTCATAAACTAGAGAAAGTAGCCCTTGTTTAAGCTACCTGACCCACAGGAAACAAATTCAACAGTTATTATAAATGGGATTGGCAACCAAAAAGCCCAAAAGAAGGTTGAAATACTGATGTCAGCATTATTTTTAAGTAAAGATGCACACACAAAATGAACTGGAAAATTAAACAGATCCTAAGAATAAAATATGCATCTTACTCATATTATAATCATATTATTTTCAATTCTAAAACTGCAATGAAATTATTTCATTCATATAATTCTTTTAGAAAATTGTTTACTAAGTAATAGAATTATCAACAAGTTTTTATTCTTCATATCATTAACCCCACCCCTAAAAATTATTACAGAATTGTAAGGAGGCAGCATTTCATACTTATAACAGTAAACATTTGAAAATATCTTAAATATTCAATAATAGGAAGAAGTCTATATAAATCAGACTAATACAAATTAATAGTATATAATGCTGTGACTAGAAATCTACATGAAGACAAGACACTGAATTTCTATAAGAGTAATTAAGATAAAAATTATAACTGCTTATTTGTACAAACATTTGAATTTCAAAATCAAGAAGATAAAATGTCAAGAATGTGTGATATATTAATACCAATGTGCTATAATAAAACTTAGAAATAAGTTTAAAACTCACAATACTGTATTTTCTATCATCTTATTGTTCAGAGAAAGGATAAAGTATTTGAGAATCGTATTCTCTAATATAATTTTTTTGCATAGGAGGAACTAACATTTTAATATAATATATAATCTTACACTACAAACTTTAGACAGTTGTAAACTCCTATACGAAGTCAGATAGATCATAATTTCAGCTGTCCCCCTCCATCCTCTGTACTCACTTTGCAATCAAGTTCAACTTCATGTACCCTTAGAGAAAGCAACTACCTCTGCTCCTACTTCTCCTAGACGAGTCCAGGCTCTTTCTTTTCTTAACACTCTTTCATATGCTGGGGCTGCTCCAGAGTTGGCTCCGGGGCCCTCAAGACCATGACCTGTATGGGCTGTGAGCCATCTCTTGTGACTGTGACCTTGGGAATTTTGCCTCCTCACTCTCCCCGAATTTGTTTTGACAACAGACTAATCCTAATAACATCAAAGTTTCTAAAAATAATAGATATTCCAGTTTCAACTTCGAAGTGTGTATGTGTGTGTATGTATATATATAAAATATGTACATGTATATAATATGTATACAAATATACATATATATTATATAATATTATATATATTATGTAAAATGTATGAGGAATTTATAGTAAGGCTGTTATTTATATATAGTTATATTTCTAGTGGCAAATTACAGATGCATTTAAAAGTATCTAAACTCCTTTAGATTACACTGGTATATATTTTTCTAAATAAATATTATGTTCTATTACTGACATAGCAAAAGAATGGAATGGAAACCATATGCAAAGTTTTTTTTGTGTTTTTGTTTTTTTTTTTTTTTAAGATTTCTTTATTTATTTATACAAGCACTGGGTAACAGTCAGAAGAATGGGAGGGTGAGAGGATTCACCAGAGCCAGAGCGGGGAACAGAGCAGGCAGACTGATGAAATACACTGCTGAGGGGAGCAGCGGGCGGCAGGAGAGGTCTGCACGCCATGTGGGACCCTCGCGGTGGCCAGGGATAGAACCGGCGCTGCAGAGGCTGCGGGCAGCTTCGCAGCCCAGCGCTCAACCGCTGTGCCACCAGGGGAGGCCCCATATGCAAAGTTTTGGTGTCAAATAGCTGCATCTTCTCTAAGTCCATAAAGGATTTGATTTTAAATTGTTATTTTTGTTGAGTGATTTGACATCCATGCTCTTTTTGAAGATGAGTTTTAAAAATAATAGTATTCCTTGATCAGGACTCTTATTATCTTCCATGTCTAATCGCAAACAGGTTTCCCCTTTGCCAGCGTGACCTGATTATCCTGACCTTTTCCTGCCTTAGGGTTACTGCACCAGCTTTTCTCTCTTGCCTTGAATGCTCTTCCCATGAATGTGTTTAAGGCTGGCCCTATCACAACATTCAGACATCAGTTTAGTTATCATCTCACAGCAAAGCCCCGGTCCACCTAACTAGGGTTACACAATCACATACATCACCCAGTACAATTTCCTGAGAATCAGTTATCACTATATGACTTTATTATCATTTAACTATAGGTTGTCTCTTACATTAGAATTGTAAAGGGGACATAAATTGTTTTAGTCATGACTGTATACTGAGTATCTGGAGTAGAGTCTGACATTTTGTACAAGCCAGTAAATATTCCTGATAAACTATAGGCCATGTGGTTATTGAAAAAATGGTGATTATAGAAGCTATGTGCCTAGTTTTTTTGTATATAAAACTAAAAACCTTGATTTAAATATCTTGTTTGAAACACTGTACCTGATATTGTAATTATTTTCATCACATGTATATAATATAGACATACAAAAATCCTAACAGTATATTAATCATACTATGACCCCAATATATCTTCCCATATACCTAGTTAAGTAAAATAGTTTTATAACAGATCAGTGTTTCTCTAGTGACATCCAAAGCAAGATCTGGAAAACATAAACATGATTTGGATTAAGAAAAACCCAAATCTGAATGTAACAACAAGAATCAATCTCCTATAGTCAAAAAAAAAAAACCTTAAGAGTTCCTCTTTACTCACAAGAATATAGAGGTATTAATATACCATGTTTTTGTGACACTCGGAAAAAAAATAGAATATATAGACACTAGATTCTTTAGTCTCTTGACTCCAGCATGATAGCTTCTCATCCTGCTTCTCAAAATGATGAAAAATGGAGTGGAGAATTTTGGTGAATTCGTGGCCTCCATATTAAATCACAAACTACAAATCTGAGATTGGACTTGCTTCTGAAAGCTTCCTCAATGGACAACTTTCAGCAGACAAAAGGGAAATTTCAAACTCTCCTGAAGTCCCTCTTTTATTTATCCACCCCTACTTCTCACCCAGCCTATGAAATTGCAAATATCAAAGTAGACAAAGACTTTTAGACATACATTCATCCAATAATTTTTTAAATATTTTTATTGGTGTACCACTGGTTTACATTTTTGTTAGTATTTTGGAATTACAGGTATTCCCCTTCAGGTGTAATCTCCTTGCACACCCACTACCAACGCACTCAAGTCCATTGTGCTCTCTCCCCACCCTGCTCTCTTCCTTCCACTAACGACTCTGGATTTCTCGTTCCATGGTCAGCATCCAAGGCTTGGTTTAAAAGTTTGTCTTTGATCCTTAGTTTGGTTTCTCTATATTCTACCTAGAAGTGATACCATCTGGTGTGCATCTTTCTCCTTGAAGTGTATTTAGCTTAGCATAATCATGAGGTGCCTGGCGACATCCAAACATACCTTGAATGAGTAAACATAATCCTGCATTACAGGGAGTATAATCTTGCTGAGAATGCAGAGAAAATGAAACTCAAGTCTTATTTTAAAATAAATTTTAAAGCATATTTAAATTTCAAGTATATATTTTTAAAGTATATTTTGTGATCACTGATGCTGAGGATATAACAGAATGAAGAGTTGTGAAACAACTGAAGGAGAAAGTCATCAGGAAAGATTTGTCCAAGAGGGAGAGTGTTGATCTGAAAATGAAGAACAATGTGAAGGAGTCAGCCAGTGAATATCTCTGGGAATGTGAATACAGCAGTGAGCAGATTAGTGCAAACCAAAACTCTGAACTGGAAACCGCATGAATTAATCAAAAGAGAGGTTTAAAAAAAAATAAATGACAAGATCTCTATGCAAAGTGGGATGGAGTAGAAAATATACTGAAGAGACAGAGAGTTCTTGATACTATTGGTGTGTGCCCAATGAATCTGAATGAATGAGAGGGTGAAATTTCATAGTCCTAATAAGATTTTCCAAAATATGTAAGCTAATGACCACCCAGGGTCCCTTGTTTCATCCACAATTTCCTCATGGCATTCTTCACCTCTGCATTCCGTAAGGTATAGATCAAAGGGTTTAGCATGGGTGTGACAATAGTAAAGGACACAGTCATTACCTTATCTATGGGGAAAGTAACCACAGGCCTCACATTCAAGAATATACATGGCACAAAGAACAAGAAAACCACTGTGAGGTGGGAGCCACAAGTGGAGAGAGCTTTGTGTCGTGCTTCAGAGCTATAAGACCTCAAGGAGCAGAGGATAACTGTGTAGGAGGCAATAAGGATAAGGAAGGTGATCAAACACATCGCCCCAGTGTTAAGGGAGACTATGATACCCAGGACCTGGGTGTCCATGCAGGCCAGTTTTAACAATGGAAATAGATCACATATAAAGTGATCCATGACATTGGGACCACAGAAGGGAATTTGATACATGAAGATCACCTGGATGATTCCGTGGATAAGGCCCCCCAACCAGGCCCCTCCCAGCAGCACATAGCACAGCCGAGGGCTCATGATGGTCATGTAGTGCAGGGGCTTGCAGATGGCCACGTAGCGGTCATAGGCCATGATGATGAGAAGAATGATCCCCACACCACCAAAGAAATGCTCTGCAAAAAGCTGGATCATGCAGCCTATGAAGGAGATAGTGGTGATACTGGAGAGGCAGTCCACAATCATCTTGGGGGCGATGACAGAAGTGTAGATGGCATCCATAAGAGACAAGGCAGTGAGGAAAAAATACATCGGTGACCTCAGACTTTGACTTTTGATCATGGTGACCACAATGAGTAGGTTTCCCACAACTGTTAGCACATACATGACGAAAAATAGAACAGATAATGTTTTCCTCAGCTGTGGATTCGTTGTAATGCCCAAAAGAATGAATTCAGTCACATTGCTTAGATTCTCCATTTACTATGGGTTGGTGAAAGCACATCACTCTGAACTGGAAAATCTAAAATGGTATTATTTGTAATTAGCAATCACTGGGTATACTGGACATTATTTGCACTCTGTCTCACAGCCTCTTGACCCTCCTTATCCTCTTGGAATTAATACATCAAACAACTGCTACCAATTATAGCCTGACAATGACTCAGTCCTACTGACCTCCCCAGCACCTTCTCTCACCTGTGTGTCTCTTACTTTCTCTTCTAAGACTTGCTGCTCGAGACATATGGAAGTCCCTGATTCATCATTTTGGTGCATATGCACATCTGGAAAGAAGAAGGCATTAACAAATATTAAAGAAATCCTAGATTATTGGTAGATAGAAGCCACTGCATAAATGGTAAGCAGCTTAACATAATCTGGGTTAACTTTCTCTTCTACCCTGTTTAACGGTCCCCATCCCCAGCCTCCATTCTGTGTTCCAAAATAAACTACCTGCATACAATCCTATCTCTAAGTCTCTACTTGGAGGAACTTCAAACTGGGAAGCTGACCTTCATTTATCACTCACTATATCCAAGAACCAAGAACTTGAGACTTTTCAGGTAAATTCTCATTTGTTCCATATGCTCACTGAGCATGTACAATGTGCTTAGCTGAATAGCCTACAAGACTGGCAGGTCAAATCCTAAGGAAATGATACTCTATTCTTTCCATCTGCATTTCTCCCTTCTGAAATTGGATTATTTTCACATATTTATGATATTCAATATGTTTTAGTCAGTATAATATGTTATGAGATATTTTCTTCCATTTAGAGATAAGACACTTAGGCTTACAGTGGTGAAAAGATGACACCAAGTTCCCAAAAGCAAGAAACATGAAGCCAAGTTCAAAACCAGCATTCCTAGAGCAACATCACCATCAGTAATAAGGCATAGTTCTTCTCTAATGGTTGTATTGAAGGACACACAGGATTTCATGATAAAATTCTATTTCATAACAATCCAGGGAGATATACTGATGCCTCCTATATCTGCATCATCATTTCTAGAATAAAATTCAACAACAAATTCAATGGCAACTCCACAATAAATAGATTCCGTATATATTATAACCATCTGCATTATACATAAACATCAAATGAACAGATGAGAATAAATTCATATTCATTTCCAGATAAAATGACTATGTATTGATAATATTGTTTGAAAAAATTTCCCACACAAATAGACCCATAGAGTACAAACACATATTGCTTAAGGGTCAACTCATATGTGTGTGTATGCTTATGTATATATTGCAGAAATGAATATAAAAATAGATAGAGATATATACACTTACATACAATGCAGGGTGTAGACTTGCCATGCCTGCAGTTAAAAATCCCTTTATAATTCTTGACATTCCAAAAATTTAACTACCAATAGCCTGCTGTTGACCAGAAGCCTTACCAATAACATCAATGGTTAATGATCACATCTTTTGTTATGTGTTATGTAACACACTGCATTTCACAATAAAGCAATCTACAGAAAAGAAAGTGTTATGAAGAAAAAAAATGTCACAAAGAGAAAATAAATTTATAGTACCGGACTGTAAGTATAAATACCTGAAGTTTACCTTTGTCTGCTTACAAGATGAGTCACCAGTTTGTCTGTGCGTATATCAATATTATCTTATATGATACAAAAAATATATACCAGAAGGTATATATATTACTAATATAGAGATCACAAATGAAAAGATATGTGAAAAGACACTGACATTTATTTACAATTAATGATTCTTGCACTGATAATATTTACTGAAAAAGAACACAAATATGTGTATAAGCGTACCCGTGAAGTTCAAACCTGTGTTGGTCGAAAGTATACACACACAATTAGTACAATTATATATATGTGTGTGTGTGTGTGTGTGTGTGTGTATAAAATTAGTAAGTGATATATCCTGAATTTGAATCCAAAAGGTAGACTTTAGTGTTGGTATGTGTTTCTGATGTGAGATTTCCTATGGTACTAAATAATGTCTTCAGTAAAATCCTGTATAATAATGTGAACACATTGTGTTTATTGAGTGTCTCTGGGTCTTCATTTGTAATGAGCAACCAATGGCACACATACCACCAATAGCACAAGTCTCTTAAGAAAGGGCTTTATAAGGGCTATTTAAGCCAGTAACTGTTCTAAACTCATTTCTGGTTTCTTGAGAGATGAGTGGATATAAAAATATCTACACTAGCACTTTTATAAGATGGAAGTTATGCTACCATTATAAATAGGAGGAAAGGAGGAAGCTTAATCCTTATACAACCTGACTTGATTTCACTACCCTAACCTGAGCAACTCTAATCACCCTCACCCATACAGCACTAGTACCTTGGGCAATGCAGCTCAAAATAAATGTGCTTTTGTATAGATGGAGAAATATAATTTTAAAATCCAGTTTATCTTCAAGTGAAACTCAGAAATTTGAAGTTATCATTAACTAATTATAAAGAAGAAAAAGACTACATAAGCTTCACTCAAAGGTAATTAGTTGAAAAAAAGTTTAAGAAAGTTGATACGAGAGCAAAGCAGAAATATATAATAGAAACAGTGAGAGAGAGAGAGACAATCCATGAAACCTAAAATCTTTCTAAAGCTGGCCTAGGACGTACAATTTATTTCTGTTCCTGCTTTCCTCCAAGCACATCTCTGAAACATAAACACACTCTTTCATTTGCTCATTTTGGATTCAGACCAAAAGGAAGACACTTAAATTTTGAAAATTTGCCAAAATTGGTTAAAGTAAATCAAGCTAAAAATTGTAGATATCTCAAGTCTGCCCATGCTGAGGCCACAATTTGTATATAGAGAAAACAGATGCACTACTACGTGTTAAGTATAGTTGTGCATGTATATAGGTGATTCATTTATTTCAGTAATTTCAAAAAACTTCAAATTAAAAGGAAATTTTTAATAAACTTTTAAAACTACCTCCAATACTCATTTTGATATCATCTGTGACCTCCAAAAGCCTAAAGCAAATTAAAGGTAGAGGGTATGCAAATAACATTTCTAGGATCAGAGAAGGTTTGCCAAAGGTCTGACCCCATCCAGAAAGTGGCTACATGAACTTTCATTTACAAAAGAGCTAAAAATCACATCGTATTAGAATTTGAACTTACTAAATCCAAGTGTGCAGCAAATAAAGCAGGAATTGCTCTGGGAACAAATCATCCAATCATTCCATGGTTTTACTAGGAGAGGACCAGAATTTCTAATGGTTTTAAAGATATGCTAAGTGCCCAAAGACTTAAATAAGAAACAACCCTGGTGGTTGATAGAAGAATTTAAATGTCATCTAACAAAAAAAAAAAAAAAAATTGCCAAAAAGGGCAGCCAGCTAAGCTGCTCACAAAAACATTCATGGAATTGTGCCTGCCATTTAGCAATATTTTGAGCTTACTTTGTAAACAGTTTCTAATCTACATCTCAGAAGAAACATCGTTAATAAGATGCTGTCCTTTGGGTAATCGACCTGGGCTAAAAGAAGGCAGCATGTCATTTTTAATGGCACAGAATTTGAAAACATGCAGACTTGCATCATTCCACTTACATCCCATTGAGGCTGTGTCTGTACTTGTTGAGATGCTAATCACTGTCCCCAAGAATTCCCATCACCCCAGACATGATCTGTTTTTCCAAGGACAGAGCTTCATTGGAGCCAGGCCAAGCCAATGTTCTACAAACACAAAACAAATCATAGTCTTAACCATTTCACTACTTGCTCCAACACTAACCTCTCATCTTCAATAACAGAATGACCACACACTGTGCCATCTGATAACAGCGACAGATAAATAAATATGAGGTATGCTTGGCCACTTAGTAAGTACCTGGACTGTTACTCTCTTTATCTCTTAAGAGTATTATTAAATTTGTGGTCCTCCCCGGTGGCGCAGTGGTTGAGCGCTGGGTTGCGAAGCTGCCCGCAGCCTTTGCAGCATTGGTTTGATCCCCAGCTGCTCCCCGGCCACCGGAGGAGGATCCCACATGGCGTGCAGACCACTCCTGCTGCCCGCTGCTCCCCTCAGCAGTGTACTTTGGTCCTTCTGCCTGCTCTGCTCCCCACTCTGGCTCTGGTGAATTCTCTCACTGTCCCGCGCTTCTGACTGTACCCAGTGCTTGTATAAATAAATAAATAACTCTTTTTAAAAAAGTGTTATTACACTTGTGTCACATCTAGTGGCTAGTCAGTAGCCATTATTAAGAATTAAAAAATAGACCTCAGCCCAGAAAAAAAAGGACCAAATTCCTTCTCACTCTTTAATAATTAGCATTCCCAAATAAAATATCTTCAAATTAGAAATACTGGGATTATGACTTTCATCCTTATATTTACAGTGTAACTCAAAGATCAAAATTGGTTCCCTAATATATTTGATCATGTACTCTAGGAAATCTTCCAAGAAGGAAGAGTCTCTTAATTTTGCTGAATAGCATCCTCACAACTGATGAGCCATGCTCTGCTTGTGCATTAACCTTACCAACATTCTAAAATTACCCTACGTTCTTACCAAACCACTTATATGAATTAGGGCAATATTCCTCGATCTCTCCCACCCACAACACTTTGAAATTCAACCATTTGAATTTGATTTTCATTTCTTGAGCCCATTACATCCCACTTTTCTTGGTGTCCCATAAAGGATGATCCATCTGTTCAAATTTGACCATCAGATAATCTTTCTCTGACACAAGAGGAACCAAGAGAGTGCAAGTTAGCCGGGGCAGAGGTCTCTCTATCTCTTCAGACAGCTAGTACTACTATCTATAAACTTCTTGCCATATGCCTTTTTGTGAAGATTAAATAAAACAATGTTTAGCCTAATTGCTTCAAATGGCTTCTCAAGTCTTGGTAAGGAAAAAGGAGAAACTTCATTTATGTTCAAGAAAAACTATGACCAAACTATTTAAGAAAATAATCCCAAAGCAGCAGCAATTTCAAAATATTCCCTTTATTTTTCCTGGCCA